GAGAAATTAATAAAATTACGCCCAATATGTTGGAAAATGTTAGTCATAATATTGTTAAAGCAGTTCATTGTTGTTCAGGAGGACACCAGTTTGAGCATTTGTTAAAAAAATAATTATTTATTAGTATATACGATTTATTTTTTTTTTGTTATTTAAACTAATTTCTTTTAACAAAAAAAGTTGTATTGTTGTTGAATAATAATAATTATTTGATAAAGAAATGTGACATAATATTTTTTATTTAAAATTTGAAGATTTGTCAAATTATGTTAAAAAATACGGTGTTGCCATTTAAAAAAATATTGTTTTACATACACATACTGAAGAAATCTGGCAACACCAGAAAGCATTATTCGTACATTTTTCTTAATCAAGTTATTTCCTATAATTTTGCATTTGGAAGTAAGTACTAGTTTATCACTTCCAAAATAAAAAAGTTGGCTTATGTCAGGTTTTAAAAAAAATACACTGTATAACATAAAACAACGGACACATTATCGAGTGCACGAAACAAAACTCTGGCAAGCATAGAAGTGCCAGAGTTTCTACACGTGAACCCCATGGTAACAAAAATACATATACAGGGTGCTTCAGAAAGACCTCCCGTAAATACAAGGGGTGATAGTACGACAAAAAATAAGAATAAGAAACGGTAAGAAATATTTTTATGAAATTTGGTATTCCGGAGTTTCTAAGGATGCCAAATACGCTGGTCTAATTATTTTTTGTATATTTCATAGAGAGCGCTAGTTATGCTACATTCCTATTACATTTTAAGGTCTAATTTTTTTTACGGTTTGGCCTGGTTTTTTTAGGGTTTTTAGTTACCAATCGGGCTCCAATTTCTAATGTACAATTTTCTTTCCTAAAAATAATGTACTCTTGTTAGAACTTCCTAATGTGGACGGTTTTCGAGAAAAAAGGCTTTTATCTCGAAAACCGTGAACATTAGGAAGTATTAACAAGAACACATTATTTTTAAAAAATAAAATTGTACATTAGAAATTGGAGCCCGAATGATAAAAAACCTAACCTTAAAAAAATTGTAACTTAAAATGTAATAGGAATGTTGCATAACTAGCGCCCTCTATGAAATATCCAAAAAATAATTAGACCAGCGTATTTGGCGTCCTTAGAAACAGTCACTATAATCTTATAACTTATTGTAAGTTTATTATTACAAAAAAGTTTTTAATACAAAAGTTTTTATGAAGTTTTATAATATAGTATTAGAAAAAAACAATTTAATAATGGAAATCACTAAATTAAAGAAAAAAAATTAGTGCATACTTAGCTTTGTTAAATTCTCTTTTCAAAAATATATAATATTATGTTACTGTTTGATTCAGGACTTTTCGACATATTTCAGTTTAAAACTATTTTTGAAAAAACTGGAGGGAAATTTATTCTGACGGATCGCAGTGGCTATGGACGAGGCACGCAGAACAAACAAATGACTTTGACAGTAGTTTATTTATCATCATTAATTTATTTCCTATAACAAACTATTTTAATAAATAAATGATGTTTAGTGAGAACGAAAGTAGTAATAAGCAGCTGTAAATACATATATTTCCAGACATAATTGTCGCACCATTTTAATAAATTGAAAAAGTCCATTTAAATAAATGTGGTTTAAATTGAGGAAACTTGGAAACTAAATATAAAATGTTACCTGAAATTTAATTGCTTGTCAGGTTGAATATGACATCAGAGTATGAAAAAAATGAAATTGAAATTCTATTTGACTTTCCGATAAATATATAAATTAGTAGGAGCATTTTTAATTAAATATAGTCATTTCCTGATTAATATTTTTACATTATGAAGTACTTTTCAGAATCCGACTTAAAATTTAAATTATTTAGATTAGTGTAAAAGTTACAAGGTGAAATAGGTTATAAATAGTGTCTTGAAAAACATATTTTTTAGATTTTTAGATCGTTTAGATTGGTCACATTGTTTAGATTGTGTGAGATTGATGGATTGTTTTTAGAAAGTATGTTTTTTACTTTGTCAATTCCGTTTGTAGTAAAATTGTGAAATAAACGAAATTTAAAATTGTAATTGCACTGTTTCCTTTAAGGGTATATTTCTTGCTAGTAAACGATTGCTAATAATTACGTTTATCAGTGAAGTTGAAAATAACTTTAAATAAATTTTGTTATGCATTTACATATTTAAAGGACTTTTTGGTGAAAATGGTTAGCTTTCGAGACCTTCTTTTGGCGGGCAAGGTAGGGGAAAAGATTTTTCCAGCCCAAAGCCCAATACACCGTGGACAAAAAAGTTTTGGCAACTTAAATGCGTCCTAATGGTAGCTTGTGGCTCCATCTAGAAGGTACAACGAATTCGTCGATAAATTCGAATTTCTCATCCCAAAAAACGCCCGGATACGAAATTTCACGAAATTTGCTCGAAGTAGTCGAAATATATTAGAAAAGAAAATGTTATTTACTATTTCATCTTTGACACCCTGTAGCTCCGTTATTATCAATTTTTGGACTAAAGCAAGTTTGGTTAAATCGACTTATTTTAAGCCGTGCTATATCTGGTGGAGCGTTGTACAGACCCTTTAGAGACAACCTGTTATATTATTGGATATCAAAAATGCAGTTTAATAGCCTTGCTACGTTACCAAAAAGTAAACAAAAAATGATGAGCAGCTTCTGAACGTTTGTCAACTTTTTTTTTTAAATTCAAGACCATGTACATAACTTCTAAATAGTTAATAATGGCTCTATACACTGCTGAAACTATTTGTATGTAATTAAAGTACATACGGTTTTTAAATTTACCGTGTTTTCTCTAGAAGAGCTCATCTAATTGTAACTATGAATAGAACAAAAATGATACATTTTTATATCACTTATTACTTACTTACTCTTTTGTTTTTTACTGACAAAGAAAAAGGAAATAAAAATAAAGCCGAACTACTAGTTCAAGAGGACATCCGAGGAATTTACGGAGAAGTCCGAGGAATTCAAAGAGCAGCCAGAGGAATTCAAATGAAAGTCACAGGAATCCAATAGGAAATCAAAGAACTTCTAAGGAATTTACGGAGGAAATCAGATAAAACAGCTCAAAGTGTCTTCAAAAGAACTGCAACTCAACTATGTGAACTACCTTTGGATTGATATGTTTTTTGTTACCCATTTGTTTTAACATATTCCCATAATTTATTATTATGTTTCTACTTGACGGTTATTATTCATTATTTTTTTTATGTATTCAGATACCGAATGACAGGATTTCAATGCTTTGGGTATTTTTCTTTTTTGCTTGTTTAGAATATCATGCTTTGTAATATCACTGTAGCGAGCATGCGTGACTCCTGACGCAAAATATTTTTTCCCGTCTGGTCGGGCATCAGTTAATTCAGTTTGCCAATTTCTACTACACGGTTAAACACTGACGCCAGGTGGTGAGCAATACTGGCAATTTTGCTGTATCCCCAATTTTTCCGTAGGGTTCTACTTGCATAACATTGCTTAGCCAAGGGACTTATGGTTTTATATAATTTCCAAAGGATGGTACGTCTGTCTATACAAATTTCGCTTAAATTTGTCTAGCTTCTGTGAATATACCAGGCCACTAGACGAACATCACAAGCCTTCCCTGAATGGTTACTCATCGAAGTACCTACTAACCGCGATTGCTAGCGTCTACGGCTAGCCTAGTGCACGTCTACGTGCTTATATGTGACAAAAACCAGAGATAGACTTATTTTTACGATTTAGGTCTATTTCGTACGTTTATACAAGAGAAAACCTAACCTGATCTAATCTAACTTATCAGTTTATTTTTTCTGTTAATAATCATACGAGGAGCTTGACTGTGGTCTGAAATGTACGAAACAGATGCAAATTACTTCATATCAGTGACACGATTGCCAAGTCGCTAGGGCGCACTCGCTCAACGTGAACACGACATCGCATGTATTTCAAGAGAATTTATGTTTTGTTAAAAAACTGATAAAAAAAAGGTGTCTCTTATGAACATAAAGATTAATTATATTAGAAAACTTGCAGGCACTCTTATGAATTCCGTAATTATACAGGGTGTTAGTAAATAAGTGCGACAAATTTCAGGGGGTGATTCTACATGAGAAAATAATGGCAGTTTGCTTATAAACGTATGTCCGCAAATGATTCGTTTTCCGAGATACGGGGTGTCAAAGTTTTTCTTAAAAACTGACGATTTAATTTATTGCTCTGAAACCGGTCGAGATGTGCAAATGAAATTTGGTGGGTTTTAAGAGGTAGTTATTGCGCATTTTTTGACACGCAATTAAGAATTNAATTTGTAATATCTCAGTGGCGTACCATTTTTTTCTTTAAAAAATTGAGATTATTACCCGTACGCGCGCCAATGATGAACATAAAATTCTTAATTGCATGTCAAAAAATGCGCAATAACTACCTCTTAAAACCCACCAAATTTCATTTGCACATCTCGACCGGTTTCAGAGCAATAAATTAAATCGTCAGTTTTTAAGAAAAACTTTGACACCCCATATCTCGGAAAACGAATCATTTGCGGACATACGTTTATAAGCAAACTGCCATTATTTTCTCATGTAGAATCATCCCCAGAAATTTGTCGCACTTATTTACTAACACCCTGTACACTGAAATTCATTTTCACTTAAAAGCAAATAAAAAAACCTCTACCTTAAATTCATTGAAATGTATTTTAAACTGGAGAATTTATGCTAAAGAAAAGAAATATAAATCCGGACATTAATATTTTTAGTTTTAACAACGAAATGATTCATTTACGAAATATCGAAATAAATGAATTATTAACCTACAGCTCAACTAAATATTAAATTAATTACGCTGTATCTATGTTATAGAGACACATTTATATAAGAAAATGTGTATTCGTCTGATATAATCCAATTCAGTTCGATATGTTGTATATGTCCATAATAAATTGCACTGAATAAAGGTAGGCAGAAACTTGTAAACACATTAATATAAAATGCCGTTACTTACTCTTCCTTTCAATGACTCGTTTAAATAAACTGTGCCGGTTTCATTGTCTATTCGAAACGGCAGTTTTTCAGGTGGACGTTTGCTTCCGTAAAACTGTATAGGTTCCAGCCCGTAAACCAAAGGCTCACCTTCAGCATCGTCTCCATGAGCTTGTGCAATTTTAGTTCCCACCGTTTCGTTCTCCTTTATGTCCCAATTCCTGTCTAACCACAAAGTGGGGGGTGTATTCTCACTCAGTTGGCAGTATACTGTAACAAAAAAGCTAATGTTATTTCATGTTGGACTTTAAACTCCAAACAATAATTTTAAAACACTATATAATGCCTGCAGAGTCTCGGCAATATTTTACGAGCGCATTTCAAAATAAAAGAAAAAGTTTATATTATAGAAATGCATCCTAAGAGGGCTAAATCTCCTTAAATGTCACCCTCAAACTTGTTTCTACCAGTAACATTCAAAACTGTTAAAGTTGAAACAATAGAATTTGAAGTTGGATGAGCTTTTTAATACAGTATTATCAAATAATTTGTAAATCTTAAACAGGAATATATCAGCCCGGGGAGCCTAAGTAGGTAACAATTTCAATTATTTAACCTTATAATGGCTTTATGAAGGATATTTGCGGTTTAATTAGATTTAAAAGAGGCGTAAGAGGTGAAATCAAATGCATTTCTAGAGTGTAATGGCTTATTAAAGAACCTTATGGTATATCTTAAAAGCATAAAGTCTTTTTGACTTTCTCTGGGTGCAGCTTCATAGGAGTTTTATTATTAATGTCGATGAAAAACGAAAATTTAATCGATTCGAACAACTATGAGACTATAAAACCTTTAAAAGCTTTTAAAAGAGCATTATTCCTGTATATATTATGTATCCTCTTTCAAGACCTTCTCTTAAGGAAATTTTCACTTGTTTTAAAAGATTAGGTTATGATAGCACAATTTCGGTAGCGACTTGTACAATATATCTAAATTAACCGCGATAAACAAGTGAAAAAGAATCTTCGTCTCGTTCAATATCTGAATAAATCAACATTTGACGAAGCTCATGTTCGAGATTTAAATTTTGTCTTCTTTTTTTACTAATCATTTTATCCCATTCTAAATTAGGTCGAGAATATTCTTTTTGGTTTAATTTACGGGCAAACCTTGACTTATTAAACCATCTAAGAATGTCACTCTCTTCTAAAGTAAATGGGACAATAGATAATCATGTTTCTCACTCTCCAATGACCTAACCTATTTTAAAAGGCATGTTAGAACACAATATATTGTTAAGAAATTATTATTTTGATTTAGTCTAGGTATTTGTTATGAAAATATTAATTTTGCCAATTTTGTTTTATGTATTGTGTTTTGCGTTATTTTGGTTTTGTTTAATAACTCCTCAAGGGTGCAACTTTGTATATAGGTAAGTTTGGTTAAATTACAATAAGCAAGAATTTCGTCATTTTTCATTAATAAAAAATTATTTACAATGACTAAAACATCCAACCACTGTGAGTAATAGTAACAATAAATAATTTGTTTAGGAAGTACATTTTTCTCTATATTTTGGAAAATTAGTCACTTTTAGATAAATGAGCATAGAAAGTTCTTTACTCATTTACACGATAATGGCCTTAATATCTTTAAACTTTTCTTCTACGTAACATTTTCATCTTTTCAATTATTTAAATTTTAGGGACGAATTTTTGTGAACGTTCTGATTTACTACTTTATTTATTTTATTAGTACACTGTACTATGTACTTGTATTAGTATACAGAGTGTTTGTAAATAAGTGCGAAAAATTTTAGTAGGTGGTTGCCGAAGTTATTTTGTGAAAAAAGTTCATATAAACGTAGGTCGAAATATGCTTTATTTCCAAGATACAGAGTATTTAAATTTTAATTATTTATTTATTTTTATTAATTATTTCAAGGAGTTTTAAAGATATTGACAGGAAATTTGATGGTTGTATTTTATTTAGAAATATTTACAACAACCTACTAGATAATATATCAATAGAAATTAAAATTAATAAATTCTAAATTATTAATTTATCAGGGTGAATCTTAAATGTATACATACAGGGTGTCCTCAGTTCGGGTTGCCTATACCTGAAATGGATACAAAATTTCAATTGTCAAAAAAAATCATTCTTTATAAAAATTTTTGCTTGTCCAGAAGCCCTTGGCAAGATAGTCATTTGTTCAATTTAATGTACAGGGTGTTAAAAAATTTAAAAAAGGTAAAAACAGTAAAGAGTAAAGTACCTTAAATCTTAACGCTACGTGAAAAAGTAATGGGGAAAAGTTGCTTGGAATTAAATTTTATGTTCAAATATGAAAGCATGGCCTTCTAGTTAATACTCGACATTCTTGGATATTCTAGGACTCTACTTATTTTTTAATACTTTCGGAGTAGCCATTCTATTTAAAAGATATTGCTTTATTGAAAAACAGATACACATGTTTGTATATTAATACTTATTTTATATACAGGCGGATCAAAAACCTCAAAAACTTTAATCCAACATTTATTTTGAGAACACAGCTGAATCAGTATGTACGCACCATTACAAAACTATTCTACATGAAGTCCGCCAAGTTCAACACACCTTCAATCTTTTTCTAAATGCAGCGTAGGTCGAATGTATCATTTCTTCACTTACTTGGGCAATAGCTTCAATTATCCTGCATTTCAAATAATCAACATTGTGTTGCACTGATTCTCTGTACACTCTTTCTTTCAAGAAGTCCCAAAGGAAATAATAGAAATACCAATAATTTGTAGAAAGCAATTGTTATCAATAATTGTTTGGCATTAGTTGTGACATTAGGTGTTGATATTTAATTTTAATCAAATTATGCTCACTTTACAGCATCGCATTTATCTTGTTAAATGTTACGGTATCGGTAACATTTCTTGCAGCCAAGCAATTGAATTGTTTCATGAAAAATATCCAGATGTTAAAGTTACCCGCCAAAATCTGAGAAAACTAATTCGAAAATTTGATTTAACTGATGATGTAAAAAACGTAAAAATGCCAAAAAAAGAGACACGATGACGATGATGCAGCGGCAATATTAGTTTTGAATTCGGTAGAAGAAAAAGCGAGACTGTCACTAAGGAAGATATATAAATAAATCGATGTTAGCAAGACACATATTCAGAGAATTTTGGTAGAAAATAAGTTTAAGGCTTTCAAACCAAAAGTATTTCACACTCTAGAAGTTGGTGATGTTTGGAGTTCTGTTTAGAGATAGGAGAAAGGATTGTGGTAGATAGACATTTTCACAAAAGTATAATTTTTTTCCGATGAAACCACTTTTTCTACCAACGGAGTGGTATCGTCGCAAAATTGTCGTTTTTGGTCGCAAGTAAATTCTTCCTTTACAGTTACATCAAGAAGTCAAAGGTTCAAAAAAGTAAATGTTTGGTGCGCGATTACTTTCAACCGAATAATTGGGCCATACTTTTTTGAAGCAAATTTAAATCAATATACGTACCTGGAGATGCTAGACACATTTTTCTGGCCAGAATTAGAAGAAGAACATTTGGAATATAGACAAAAAGCGTATTTCCAACAAGACGGATGTCCCGCTCACTCAACAATTCTAGTCCGCAATTGGCTTAACAGAAAATTTCGAGAGAAGTGGATAGGAAGATATGGTGCTATTTGTTGGCCAGCAAGGTCCCCTGACTTGTCGCCGCTTGATTATTTCCTTTGGGGCTTCTTGAAAGAAAGAGTGTACAGAGAACCAGTGCAACACAATGTTGATTTCTTGAAAAGCAGGATAATTGAAGCTGTTGCCCAAGTAAATGAAGAAATGATACATTCGACCTACGCTGCATTTAGAAAAAGATTGGAGAGGTGTGTTGAACTTGGCGGACTTCATGTAGAATAGTTTTGTAATGGCGCGTACATACTGATTCTGCTGTGTTCTCAAAATAAATGTTGGATTAATGTTTTTGAGGTTTTTGATCCCCCTGTATAAAAAATAAATTATTAATATGCAAACATGTGTATCTGTTTTTCAATAAAGCAATATTTTTTAAATAGAATGGCTTCTCCGAAAGTATTAAAAAATAAGTAGAGTCCTAGAATATCCCAGAATGTCGAGTATTAACTAGAAGGCTATGCTTTCATATTTAAACATAAAATTTAATTCCAAGCAACTTTTACTCATTACTTTTTCACGTAGCGTTAAGATTTAAGGTACTTTACTCTTTACTGTTTTTACCTTTTCCAAATTTTTGAACACCCTGTACATTAAATTGAACAAATGACTATCTTGCCAAGGGCTTCTAGACAAGCAAAAAATTTATGAAAATGATTTTTTTTTTTGACAATTGAAATTTTGTATCCATTTCAGGTATAGGCAACCCGAACTGGGGACACCCTGTATATTATAAACAGTATTTAACGTGAAAAAAACATCTCATTAACTGTTTTTTGTTTGTAATTTAAATGCAAGATTTTTTAAAAGATAACTGGTAGAAAACCGCTGTCATAGATTAACTGCGAAGTTTTAAAAAAATGAAGAAATTAAGTTAATTAAACATTTTTAGACCACGCATAAAAAAATAAAAACTTATACATAAAAATCTTTTTCGTCTTACATTTTTTTGTTTCATCATTTAACAGTTGGATCATATAATGCCCTCCTCAAATCCAGACTGTACTAAATTGGAAGCAATCATGACGATCTCAGAAATTATGGCCATCGATTTGGTACGACACAGCTAAAGTATTGGCAGTTCAAATTCTCGCAACGATGCGGTGGATCGTTCAGATCTGCTTTCCAGTGCCACCAAAAGCCCGCCGAAGAGCTGCACTCAAGCAGCCCGATCGATTAAAAAAATATAAAAGAAATTTGTATAATCTCTGTATTGTATTTCTAAACGTGGACTTGCATGTGTTTTTATTTTTTTAGTGAAGTATACCTTTGAAACTTACATGCATCTACCACCCTGAAGGTTATATTTCGTAGTACATAAAACTAGGAAATCCTTAAGTAAGTAACAATGCACCCGATTATTTAGTTCATTTTAAGGAAAAGAAAATTTTAAATTGAATTTTGATGCCTTTGAGGTTACAGACGGGAATGTTATTTTATTATTTCATTCATAAAATGATATTTGGCATTATCATGGGTGTAGGTAAAAATATCTAATAAATTAAAATGCAACAGTTTTCATAAACTGATAATATTACAGGAAAGATCTACTCCGCTTGTGATTTCGTGTGAAGGTGGAAAATGATATCATTATAGCAGTGGTATAAAAAAAGAAGACTAAAGATACCTACCTATGTAAATAGATCTATAATAATCTTGGTTGCTGAGAATATAATTACCCAATTCATATAAAACTTGCATGCCATATAAAAATACCACATATATTTCTTCTATGACCTTGGCAATTTTTATACCTATATATTTATGTCATCCTCATTAAGTTGTTGTTTAAATTTTAATTGCAACCCAATTACTATGTAACATTATGTACTGTGTAAGGTTTAAGGTGTATCATGTTCATTGCGTTATTTACTTTCTATTGAAGAGCAGTGAAGATAGCTAAGATAATGGTCCTCCAACTACAAGGAAAAACAGCATTGGTTACAGGTGGGCTTTCTGGAATAGGTTTGCAGTTTGCAAAAGAACTTCTACGATGTGGTGTTAAAGTAAGTAATAAAACCTAATTTGTTTATTACATAGATTATGTTCAATGGAATTAAAAGTATACTGCGTCTAGTTTTTAGTTTCAGTGTGTTTAATAATATTATTGGAACCTAATAAGTATATAACTATACAATGATTTATGAATGATACTATTTGGTGCTATTTTCATACCATGTCGTAGCAAGGCTAGAAAGTCAAACTCTTGACCCTTGCTTAGGCACCAGAGTACAAGATACACTAGGGTAACAAGAAGGCTAAGTTAGCCAAAGCAAGGTCATCTACAGTTCTATAAGTCCGAACTCTTCTGAGGCACTGCAAACTAAGGTTTTAAACATGTTACTGAGTAAACAAAGAAATAAAATAACTAACGGAAAAAGCTCAAGCAGTGCAAATATAATCAGTAAAATACATACGTTCTACAGGCACAGCAACTTGACTAAACCTGGCGCAAAACTGGCAAAAAATACACTGTTCCAATATTCATAATTTTAGAGTTAGTAATATATTTAGTCTAACTGTCTTTAGAGACAACTACCTACTCGTGTTCCGTTACAATATAATTCACCTAGTGGAGAATACGGGTATATCGAGCTTTGTTTTCTCAAAGGCGGATTGTCAGCTAAGAGATTTACCGAGAAAACCATCATTGTCTCAAAAGCGGATCTATCCATAGTAAACCAATATTGGGGCGGTCCCTGGTGTTCTGAAAGCTGACGCGCCCCCACAATTCCTAACAAGGGCTAAGGGAGTTCATTATAAGTTAGTACTAAATACATAACCAATGACGTAACAGCTCGAAAAACCATGATTCTTTATGTAACTGCATTGGCGTAAAAATCTTAAAACACTACAACTAACGTCTACGGGGAGGAAGTTTACTAGTTAATTGGACAACTTGAAGCATTACGAAGAAGGAGTTTCCAGTTTCGCATTCTTCGTCGACACCAGGATAAAATGCCGAATTACCTTAAACTAAGACCAATGTAAGTCTGCACCAGTTGATAGAATCTATAACAGTGCCAGTCGAACTTTATTACGACAACAGTCATGTATATACTTGTATATATACAAGGAAATCTTATGGAAACTATATAAGGTAATTTTTACCTTATGTTCACTTTGGATCAGGATATATGGGGAAATATTGACGCGATGTTGTCACAGGTAGCCGGTGGACAATGAATAGAGTAGCAAGAGATCTTGACCCCAGATGTTTACAAGTTCTTAGAGCGAAATCCAGCGTCGACCATTGAAAAATATACTATTAGGTTGTCGAACGGGAGTCCCTAGGACCAACAAGTTATTAAAGCTCGTAACGTTTCTAGAGCTGACCCTCATGGCTGCCTAAGAGCCTAATATCCCGCTTTACTTCTACATTGGCAAAGCACATTACCACTTTGATGCAACTATATGTATATAGACAACTCAGCTCACCATATGAGGAATTCAAGACATTCAAGACTGATATCTTGATCAGCTTTGATGTGCAGATCTTATCCATCAAGGTATCAATAAAAGACACATTGCAACTATTACGATTGTTGCTCCTGCGACAGGAATTAGCTCTATTTGAGCTTTGTCTAACGTCCTGTTACTTCTTGTGAGAAGGAGATTACTATGAAAAAACCGATGCCGTTGCCTCTTTAGTACGGTAACGGCAAATTTCTTTATGCAACACTTCCGTGAAAGCCTTAAGACGGATAAACTGTAGGTATTTTAAATCATTTTAATTATATCAATAGTGCTATTTTAGCAGAAGAGCCAAGAGTAAAAGAGATTTTTAAATTTGACATAAACAGAACTCAAATAAGACTATATATAAACAAACGATACTTCTTTAATAAAGTTAAATGGGATTGGAAAAACTGTGTCATTAGAGATATGTGTAATGTATACGTAATTTTAAATAACTTAGCATTTTAATTGAGAAAATTAAATTTAATATCTTTAGTTATTTATTTATGGGATAGTTTATATGTTTTTTGTTGAGTACATTGTCACCTATGAGAAAATGAATGAAATAATCCTTTGCCCCAAAAGAATCGGTTAAAGATAATTTGTATAAAACTATATTCACCTCACTTGGTTAATATTTCCAAGATCAATCTATTTTCAAAACTATGAAGAATATTATTTTCAAGAAAGATTGGCAAAAATGTTTTCAAAAAAATAATCGTAGGTAAGTAACGATTTCTACATTCTTCTTATTTTTTTTTACATGCGATGAAATATCTATTACCTACCTATTTGAAACAAAACATATATAGGTCTAAAAACCAAAACAGATTGATTTTCGAAACGTTAACTGAGTCAAATGTCATATATATTTTTTACTTTTTATTTATCTACTTTTATCAGTGTGAGACTTTGTGTAGGCAAAAATAGTTTCATAAAAATATTCTGATCTTTTTTTTTTTGGATATGTATAATTTTTTTATATTTACAGCTGTCAGAATACCTATATTTATAAAAGAAATATAAATTTGATATTTTTAAATCCACTAATAGAGAAAAAAAATCTAATTCAGCACTGTATAGCTGGGTTCATATAATCGTGAATTAGGTATTGTGAAATGCTAATAATATTCTTATTGTCTGATTTAAATAGAAATATCTTCCTTTCATTTAAATTAGCCAGTAAGAAAAATATTCGCAAATTTATAACTATATAAGCAGTGAGAAATTTCTTGTAGATATCAATAGATAAAAGTAAACAGGTAAAATAATAATAATAATTGAAGCATACACTTTTTTATATTTAACAGTTGGCCATTGGCTAGGTAATTCATTTTATATTTTTTTATTTAATTAGATAGTTTTGTAATTATTACGTAATTATTCAATTATTTTGCTGTGAACTACATTTCCATTTTAATTATTTAAAAATAATTAATTTTTTTAGCGTAACTAAGTATTTAATGAAACAAAATGTTAAAAGAATAGTACTACTTTAAAATTCTATTTATAAATAAAATTGTACGAAATAAAACACTCTAGACTACCATATTTGCTCTAAGTTAAAATTTTCTCCATCATCCCATTTAAACGCTATTTCGTTACCGTAAATCCTAGTATTTATTTTTAAGTTTACGAAAATATTGTAGAAATAATTCTAAGCACCAGTCATACTCTTTGTACGTTGCCTTAAATTTTATTTTTCTTTTAATTAGTAGTTATGGTATGTTTAACAAAAAGCGTTAGACTGCGCAGAACGAGGCGGTCAATCGTGTTCCGCGCAATCAAACCATAATCATATGTTTATATTTCAATAATCTATCTTCGTCGCTAAATATAAGTTTTAATTTTAATTTGATAAGTGCAATATTTCCAAATGAAAATCATTATTTTTATCTTTATATTAAACAAAGTTTATACCATAATAAACCATTTAACCATACACAAAAGAACTATTATCTCTGTGAAGTTTTCACTTCCTTGTTCATTCGCCGATGGGAACTGCGTCTGTCACCACTACTCAGGCAACTACAGTGAAGACACGTATTTCCAGGGATCTAGAGAAATGCAGACTTCACACAGGAATAAAAGTCACACTTAATAAATATTTATATTTATTAAACGTTACTCTATTACACATATATAGGGTATCCCGAAATTCATGCAACAAAATTTGGTCATAGATTCTTAAGACAAATTGAGGGGACCCGTATTTTTTCTTTTTGCCAACTGGCCCCCTCTTTCGGAATTACAGCTCCCTGAAATCTGCCCCTAAGAAGTCTTTTTTATATACAACCATGTTGTACGAAAATCACTAAATTTGGTACACAGGGGTTTTATGATATGTGGAACCTCACAGTGCTACGCTTTTTGGCGAGAAACCCCCTTAAGACACTTTTTCGTGGGCCCCTATGTCTTTGGAGCCAGAAAAATTTGGTCGAAAATTCGATTTTTTTTTTTAATTATTAGTTAGCTAGAAAGCCATTGAATATAGAAACTTTTTTGTCTCTTGATATTTGTTTCGTAAAACTCAATGTTTTTGAGGAAAATGGCGAATCACGATATGCATTCGATCACATTTTGACATTTTCTCGAAAACATTGCGTTTTACGAAAAAAGTATAAAGCGACAAAAAGTTTCTAAATGTAATGGCTTTCTAGCGCACTGATAATTTTTAAGAAATTTAAATATGCGATCAAATTTTTTTGGCTTCAAAGACAAGGGAGCCCACGAAAAATTGTCTTAAGGGGGTTGCCCGCCAAAAAACGTAGCACCCTCAGATTCCATGATTCCAGATTCCCTGTGTACCAAATTTAGTGATTCTCGTACAACAGGGCTCTGAGATATAAAAAAGATTATTTTTAGGGGCGGACTTCAGGGGCCTGTAACTCCGGAAGAGGGGGCAACTTGGCAAAAATAAAAAATACGGGTCGCCTAAACTTGTCTTTAGAATCTGTGATCAAATTTTGTTGCATGAATTGCGGGACACCCTGTATATATAGGCATACACTACTACTCCTGTCACCTCAGGAGACTTGCGCATTAAGCAGGTTCGGAACTTACTTCGATAGCTAGACTTCGATGTTAGACAGAACTGCTCGCTGCAACGAGTACACGTGAACTGAACTTCCAATTCAGCTTAACTGCCAAGCTTCTACGGCGAGCGGTGGCGACTGCGCAGTCATCACAAGCTGGACTTGAAATAATCTTACTTACTTCAAAGGGCGACCTCTAGACTACTGGAGCGGTGTTAAAATGGCGGTACGGTATAATACATATATTTAAACAAAATAGAAAAATAACAACTCGGGGTATCTCAAAACCCTGGCTGAAAATCACTTCTTTGGATTTTTACTGGCGTCATTACTAAAATATATTGATAATAACTATTGCCATATTATCGCTAATAATCGAGTCTGAGAGTAAATGCTGTAATGTCGGATAAGTAAATATTTTCATTTTCCTTTCCTTATTTAAAAAAACAATAGTGACATCATAAAAACGACGGTTTTATAAGTCTTTCAATAGTACTAAAATTTAACGTCAT